GTTAATTTTGACAGCGGCCAATAATGAGCTGTGCCCTCGAGTCACCTCGAGCACACTTAAAATTGCTCGCAATAATTGGCGCTTCCCGAAAAAGTGGGTTTTCTTCGGAAACCCATAAAAGAGAGCTCGCACCCGAAATCCGGGCCTTATCGCTTTCCGTAGTGACCGCATAACGCAACCGCATATTATTCTGATCCGCTAAAATCTCGTTGACGACCGCCGCTTATTCCGCACTTTGTTCTCGATTAGATTTTCACTGAAATATTTAAATGTTATAAGTCTTGTTCAAGTAATTTGTAATTAAGTGTGTATTGAAATTAAACTTTTTTAATACAAAAGAAAAAGTGACTTATCCTATTGTGTCGCGCGATCCTCTTTCACGCAGCGCGTTTGCGAACATTTATTATTGTGAAATAAATGAGACACTTATTTTTATATACTTGAAATTAATAACTTTATTTTTCTTATAACCAACCAATAGCACAAAAACTGAATTTCTCTCTCTTAATATTTTCGTACAATGTGTTTAGCTTCGATGACCGAGAAGAAGTGTATTTGTACGCGCGTTCCATTTTTTTCAATCACGCTCGCTCAACGTGAGTGTCTTACGACTCATTCCATTAATGGATGGCACCACTGAAACGTTTAGCTAAACCTTTCATTGAAATATTCACTTATTCCAACAAAAATATCGCAAAAAATTTATAGATAAAGAAAATCTTGAAAATTTCGAAATTATCTTTATTTTTAGAATAATCTCAAGAATACAAAGTTTTATTGTGGACATCACGTTGCGGGACATTCTGTGTATATATATATGTACATGCATACATACATACATTTATATATATATATATATATATATATATATGTATATATATATATATGTATGCGTATATATACACAGGATGTCCTGCAACGTGATATCTACAGTAAAACTTTGTATTTTTGAGATCATTCGAAAAATAGAGATAATTTTAAAATTTGCAGGATTTTCTTCATCTATAAATTTTTTGCGATATTTTAATGACACCTCCTTCATTTTTATTCAATATTTATGGGGTTCAATTTTTATAAATTTTTTTTACATAATCAAATATATATATATATTTTTTTTCTAAAAGTAACACTTTCTGAAAAATAAAGCAGTCTTTTGCTTATTTTAAATAGTTGTTAGTAGTAGAAATATTATAGTAATAATAAATAGTAAATACAATAGTACAATAATAGTAATAATAGTTATAAAGTTGCAGTAGTAACAAAAAAAGATATTTCATGCCAAAGACAATCCATTCGTCTGCTAGTTGCTTCTAAAATATCTTCTCCCAGAACGATTTGCATGTGCGTTCTGATTATTAAAAAAAGAATATTTTATATCAGAGAATTTATTCGTCTGCTAATTGCTTTAAAAATATCTTCTCCCAGAACGATTTGCATGTGCGTTCTGGTTATTAAAAAAAGATATTTTATATCAGAGCCGATTTATTCGTCTGCTAGTTGCTTCTAAAATATCTTCTCCCAGAACGATTTGCATCTGCGTTCTGGAAGATATTTTATGCCAGACTTATTTATTCGTAAACTGCTTCTTTACCTCAGATACGGTTTATGTATCCTCTGTTTAGTATAAAAATAAAACATTTATATTGAAACTTTATTGTATAATATAATATAGTTTGAATAAAATATAGATTTATAAATAAGAGACTGCATTTATTTTTCAAAAATCTTTTTTTGATAATTATATAATAATTGATACATTTAATTTTTTAACAATATTTTAACATTGTGCTTTTTTGCAGGCAATGGATGCTGAAGCTAGAAAGACAAGAGGAAAATGACTCCAGGTATAGCACATCTAAGGATACTAACAATGAATCCATCGATAATCAGAAATCGGCGGAATTACTATCCAATAATGGATTCGAGAGTTAGTATCCAATCGTTAGTACCCGCGATGCAATGCCTGGAGTCAAATTCAAATACAGGTACGTGTAGTAAAAATGTCGAACTTTGCGAAGATAACAATTATTTTGTTATCGAGAATAGCCCTCTGGATATAAATAATATCCAGGTAAGCATGCTTCAAGGGCGTTGCATTGTCGACTTTTCTCATATGTGGAATGAACTTCAGAGATCATTCAATAATCATATGAAAAAAATAAAGTGCCAATTTAAAGATTGGAAACTCATAAAAACTAAAACCGAAAGCAAAAAGAAAAATGACTCTAAGAATAGCACATATAAGAATACTAGCAATGAATCCATCGATTTTCAAAAATCGGTGGAATCGGATTCCGATACAATAGATTCTAAAGTTAGTACTCAGAAAGTGCAATGCAGGCCAAGACCGCGGTCGAACGGAAAACATTCGTGGAGACCAACCGACTGTGCTTCAACTGCCTGGGCAATCACTTTTTGTCACGGTGTCAATCGAAGAAGAATTGCCTCACTTGCAACGCACGACACCACACCATGCTGCACGGGGCATCCACGTCACCACCGTCCGCTGAGGCCACTTCACTTGCCACCACACTGGCCACCTCACGGCAGTGTGAGAGTCACAAGGCCGTCCTTCTTGCAACTGTCCGCGTCAAGGTCGCGGACCGCTACGGACCACACGAGGTTCGAGTCTTGATCGACCAGTGCTCCGAGGTGTCCATCATCTCTGAAGCGCTGGCTCAACGTCTTCGTCTTCCTCGAGCTTCGACGAATCTGTCCATCTTTGGCATCGGAGGGACTCGCTCTGGATCGGCTCGTGGCAAAGTCACCCTGGACATCACATCCGACGTGACCAACGCCGAGCTTCGCGTGGTCGCCTTTGTGTTGCCTCGCATCTCACTACAACAAGGCACCGCTCAACGCGAGAATTGCAGCTGGCCTCACATCCAAGGACTCCGATTGGCCGACCCGCGGTACCTGGATGACGACCCTGCGGAGCTACTTCTTGGTGCAGAGGTCTACTCGTTGATCCTTGAGGAAGGCCTTCGCAAGGGCGACTCACGCATGCCGATCGCCCAGCAGACCAGCTTGGGATGGATCCTGTCCGGAGGCTACGACTCAGCAGTCACCGACGGACATCGCCGCACGTTTCAGTGCACCGCCGACAACGACCTCGCTGACCTGATGCAACGATTCTGGGAGCAGAAACGCGAGCCAGCAGCTGGGATCGTGCTCACCGCCGACGACGCCAGATGCGAGGACATCTATGTGCGCACAGTCACACGCACGTCCAGTGGAAGATACGTGGTGAGGCTGCCATTTGCCTCACCGCCGACATCACTCAGCGAAACTCGTCGACCTGCAGAGCGCCTCCTGGAAGCAATGGAGCGGAAGGGAGCCCGTGATGCTCGGTTCGGTGATCTCTATCGAGACTTCATGGACGAATACGAAGACCTGCAACACATGGAGAAGGTTAGTACGTCTACTACAGGTTCTGGCCCCAGGTGCTACTTACCGCATCACGGGGTCCTCAAGGAGTCGAGCACGACCACGAAGCTCAGGGTTGTGTTCAACGGCTCCCAACGCACACGGTCCGGAGAGTCGCTGAACTCGCACCTCCTCACTGGAGCTAATCTCTTGCCAACACTCGCTGACGTCTTACTCCGTTGGCGTTGGCATCGGTACGTTTTCGTCACGGACATCGAGAAAATGTACCGACAAATTCTTGTGCATCCGGAGGATTGTCGCCTGCAAACCATCCTGTGGCGCCACAACAACTCAGACAACATCCGCGAGTACGAGTTGAAGACCGTGACCTACGGACTGGCGTGCGCACCCTTCCTCGCCATCAGGACGCTTCACCAACTTGCTGCAGACGAAGAGGCACGATATCCACGCGGAGTCAAGGCGCTGCGACAAGACTGTTACGTCGACGACGTGGTCACCGGTGCTGACAGCCTGGCGGATGCCATCAAACTCCAACAGGAACTACAGAGTCTCTGCATGGCGGGCGGATTTCCTTTGCAAAAGTGGGCTGCCAACAACCAGCAGGTGCTCACCGGAATTCCGCCGGAACATCGGCTTCAACGCGAACCGCGCTCGTGGGAAGGAGAGAGCCACGCTACCCTGGGTCTTCGATGGCATCCTCAAGGGGATTGGTTCTCCTTCACCATACGTCCGCGTTCAACCACCGACCTCACGAAGAGACGAGTCTTGGCCGAGACAGCTCGACTATTCGATCCGATGGACTGGCTAGCGCCTGTCGTCATCCGAGCCAAAATTCTGATCCAGTCTACGTGGCTTCAACGGCTGGATTGGGACTCTCCGCTGCCTGATCAGGACGCACACCGCTGGAGACAACTGTTGAATCAACTTCCGTTGCTGGATCACATCCGTGTGGATCGTTGGCTCAGCACCGGAGATGACCAGTCGCAATTGCAGCTCCATGGGTTTGCCGATGCATCAAAGCGAGGATACGCCGCCGTCGTGTACATCCGCAACGCTGCAACAGAGAAGACATCAATTAATCTGCTGATGGCAAAATCGAAGGTCGCACCAGTCAAGCAGGTGTCGTTACCTCGATTGGAACTTTGTGCCGCTGCATTACTCACCACGCTCATGCTGCATGTACGCACTACCCTCGGCTTGGCTGCTACGCCGGTGCACCTGTGGTCTGATTCTAAGGTCACCCTTCACTGGATTCGCGGACACTGCACCCGCTGGAAGACCTTTGTTGCCAACCGAGTGTCGCAGATCCAGACCCTGCTTCCAGACGCTCATTGGAGACACGTCGCCGGACGAGAAAACCCTGCAGATTGTGCATCGCGTGGTGTTACACCTAAGGACTTACGCAATCATAAACTGTGGTGGACAGGACCTACCTGGCTGTCAGGAGACGAGGCTGCCTGGCCTGGTGCAGACATCGACGTCCCAGAGGATGACCTCCCTGAGCAACGAGTCACCAGCCTGGTAGTCAAGGCGCCAGTCACTACCGAACCGGACCTTCTTCTGCGATTCCCGACGCTGCAACGGCTGCTGCGAGTCACTGCGTGGTGTCGTCGATGGCTCAACCCGGTGAGACGTGACGCCAGACCTGGCCGTCCATTGCAGCCTGACGAGCTGGACTCCGCGCTGTTTCGATGGCTGCGAGTGGTGCAGGCGCTCCACTTTCCGACGGACGTAGCCGCGGCCTCTGCTGGACGCACTACTCCACCGCGAAGCCACCTGGTGAAGTTGAGTCCGTTCCTCGACGATCAAGGCGTACTGCGCGTCGGAGGACGTCTCAAAAACTCTCAACTTCCGCTCGACGAGAAACATCCGATGATCATCCCGGCGGCATCCTGGCTGACTCGGCTGGTGATCGATTCCTGCCATCGACGGACACTGCACGGGGGTGTGCAGCCGACACTCGGCCTGCTCCGCCTGCGCTTCTGGGTACCTCGAGGAAGAACCGCCGTCAAGCAGCAGCTACATCGATGCGTTACCTGCACTCGATGGCGTGCTGCCACGCCACAGCCTCAGATGGGTAACCTTCCTCGGGACCGAGTAACGCCAACCCGACCGTTCCTCAGCACCGGCGTGGATTACGCAGGACCCATCCTCCTTCGGACCAGCAAGGGACGTGGACACCGCGCGCACAAAGGGTACATCGCAGTCTTTGTCTGTTTCTGGTCGAAGGCCACTCACTTGGAAGTCGTCTCCGACTACACCTCCGAGGCTTTCATCGCCGCTCTGCGCCGCTTCGTCTCCCGCAGGGGCCTCTGTGCTGAGATCTACAGCGACTGCGGCACGACATTCATCGGGGCAGATCGTACGCTGCGAGGTCTCTTCGATGCAGCGACAGCCGAAGGTCATCGTATCGTCCTCGCCGCCACCGCTCAAGGAATCCGCTGGCACTTCAACCCGCCAGCGGCCCCGCACTTTGGTGGTCTTTGGGAGGCTGCAGTGAAGTCGACCAAGTTCCACCTCCGTCGGGTGATCGGCGAGACGACCCTCACGTTCGAGGAGCTGAGCACACTCCTCGCCCAGATCGAAGCTTGTCTTAATTCTCGTCCATTGCAGGCACTCTCAGATGACCCAGAGGACGTCTCGGCGTTGACTCCCGGTCACTTCCTCGTCGGGGCGCCGCTACTCGCTGTGCCGGAACCGTCATTGACAGGGCAGACGGTATCCACCTTGTCACGCTGGCGTCATTTGCAGCAGATGAGAGATCACTTCTGGCAGCGATGGTCGTCCGAATATTTGCACGGACTAGCCTCGCGCACCAAATGGCTCAAGGACGAAGCTGCACCCCACGTCGGCGATCTCTGTCTCGTGCGCTCCGAGTTCACCCCACCGAGCCGATGGCCACTGGCTCGCATATCGCGACTGCACCCCGGGGACGATGGGATTGTACGCGTGGTGTCAATCCGAACGGCCACGTCCGAGCTTGTGCGCCCACTCGTCAAGCTTGTTTTCCTCCCGGGCGTGAACGACGCACCTACACCGCACGCTGACACTTCGTAACGTCACTCATTACACAATCATCACATCATGCATCATAGCATCTGTCGCACGTCACTCATCTCATCCACCACCGCACAAAAAAAAATTATTTCGTTATCACCGCTCACTGCATTACACACTCGCCGTTCACATCAACCACGCGTTTTCACCGGATCAGCTGATTATTTCACACCACGCGTTCACCACGTGCCCTCATCGGCTCAGCTGATCGATTCACACCACGCGATCACCACGTGTATTTCGCCGCGCCGGCGCGCCCGCCCCACCATCGATCGCTATCGGAATGTGATCCGCGCCGGAACCACCACCAACCTTTGTCACGTTGCGATAAAGCGGGCGGGAATGTTTGAGATGTTAAGTAAAATTTTTGTAAATTCTAGAATTTTCCATCCGCGTCAATAATAAAAGTCACGGTCTTTTTTGTATGTTTGTCACGGAAAAAAGTTGTCATAAATTAAACCTGTCATCTCATAAACATTTTTTGCACACAAACAATTAACGGTATCACAACCGTTCCGCCGAATAATTATTTTCAGTGAGCATGCGCGGCTTACCACGGGCGCCTCTTTTCACCAATAATTATCGCGATCGCCCGCGCGCGCATGCTTTCTGCCAGCCGTCTTCCGTTAATTTTGACAGCGGCCAATAATGAGCTGTGCCCTCGAGTCACCTCGAGCACACTTAAAATTGCTCGCAATAATTGGCGCTTCCCGAAAAAGTGGGTTTTCTTCGGAAACCCATAAAAGAGAGCTCGCACCCGAAATCCGGGCCTTATCGCTTTCCGTAGTGACCGCATAACGCAACCGCATATTATTCTGATCCGCTAAAATCTCGTTGACGACCGCCGCTTATTCCGCACTTTGTTCTCGATTAGATTTTCACTGAAATATTTAAATGTTATAAGTCTTGTTCAAGTAATTTGTAATTAAGTGTGTATTGAAATTAAACTTTTTTAATACAAAAGAAAAAGTGACTTATCCTATTGTGTCGCGCGATCCTCTTTCACGCAGCGCGTTTGCGAACATTTATTATTGTGAAATAAATGAGACACTTATTTTTATATACTTGAAATTAATAACTTTATTTTTCTTATAACCAACCAATAGCACAAAAACTGAATTTCTCTCTCTTAATATTTTCGTACAATGTGTTTAGCTTCGATGACCGAGAAGAAGTGTATTTGTACGCGCGTTCCATTTTTTTCAATCACGCTCGCTCAACGTGAGTGTCTTACGACTCATTCCATCAATGGATGGCACCACTGAAACGTTTAGCTAAACCTTTCATTGAAATATTCACTTATTCCAACAAAAATATCGCAAAAAATTTATAGATAAAGAAAATCTTGAAAATTTCGAAATTATCTTTATTTTTAGAATAATCTCAAGAATACAAAGTTTTATTGTGGACATCACGTTGCGGGACATTCTGTGTATATATATATGTACATGCATACATACATACATTATATATATATATATATATATATATATGTATATATAAATGTATGTATGCGTATATATACACAGGATGTCCTGCAACGTGATATCTACAGTAAAACTTTGTATTTTTGAGATCATTCGAAAAATAGAGATAATTTTAAAATTTGCAGGATTTTCTTCATCTATAAATTTTTTGCGATATTTTAATGACACCTCCTTCATTTTTATTCAATATTTATGGGGTTCAATTTTTATAAATTTTTTTTACATAATCAAATATATATATATATTTTTTTTCTAAAAGTAACACTTTCTGAAAAATAAAGCAGTCTTTTGCTTATTTTAAATAGTTGTTAGTAGTAGAAATATTATAGTAATAATAAATAGTAAATACAATAGTACAATAATAGTAATAATAGTTATAAAGTTGCAGTAGTAACAAAAAAAGATATTTCATGCCAAAGACAATCCATTCGTCTGCTAGTTGCTTCTAAAATATCTTCTCCCAGAACGATTTGCATGTGCGTTCTGATTATTAAAAAAAGAATATTTTATATCAGAGAATTTATTCGTCTGCTAATTGCTTTAAAAATATCTTCTCCCAGAACGATTTGCATGTGCGTTCTGGTTATTAAAAAAAGATATTTTATATCAGAGCCGATTTATTCGTCTGCTAGTTGCTTCTAAAATATCTTCTCCCAGAACGATTTGCATCTGCGTTCTGGAAGATATTTTATGCCAGACTTATTTATTCGTAAACTGCTTCTTTACCTCAGATACGGTTTATGTATCCTCTGTTTAGTATAAAAATAAAACATTTATATTGAAACTTTATTGTATAATATAATATAGTTTGAATAAAATATAGATTTATAAATAAGAGACTGCATTTATTTTTCAAAAATCTTTTTTTGATAATTATATAATAATTGATACATTTAATTTTTTAACAATATTTTAACATTGTGCTTTTTTGCAGGCAATGGATGCTGAAGCTAGAAAGACAAGAGGAAAATGACTCCAGGTATAGCACATCTAAGGATACTAACAATGAATCCATCGATAATCAGAAATCGGCGGAATTACTATCCAATAATGGATTCGAGAGTTAGTATCCAATCGTTAGTACCCGCGATGCAATGCCTGGAGTCAAATTCAAATACAGGTACGTGTAGTAAAAATGTCGAACTTTGCGAAGATAACAATTATTTTGTTATCGAGAATAGCCCTCTGGATATAAATAATATCCAGGTAAGCATGCTTCAAGGGCGTTGCATTGTCGACTTTTCTCATATGTGGAATGAACTTCAGAGATCATTCAATAATCATATGAAAAAAATAAAGTGCCAATTTAAAGATTGGAAACTCATAAAAACTAAAACCGAAAGCAAAAAGAAAAATGACTCTAAGAATAGCACATATAAGAATACTAGCAATGAATCCATCGATTTTCAAAAATCGGTGGAATCGGATTCCGATACAATAGATTCTAAAGTTAGTACTCAGAAAGTGCAATGCCTGGATTCAATTTCTGAAACAGATATTTGTAATAAAGATGTCAAACTTTGCAAAGATAATTATTTTATTATCAAGAATGGCCCTCTGGATATAAATCGTATCCAGGAAAGCTTGCCTAAAGGCCGTCGCATTGTCGACTTTTCTCATGTATGGAAAGAACTTCAGAGATTATTCAATAATCATATGAAAGGAATAGAGTGCCAATTTAAAGATTGGAAACCCATAAAAACTAAAACCGAAAAAATAATAAAAATATTTTAAAGTCAGCTCTTTAATTTTTAAACTACAATCTACACTTCATTCCTCTCGGCCAATAGAGCCAAACGCGATGTTATTGCGACAATGAAGAACGACAGAAAATTTGGAAACTAAGGAATTTGAATCCTATGGTTGGGATCTCAGAAACTCCCCTTGTTCCTTCTCTTAACATCCCCTGTAAAGAAATAGGCGAGAAAAATATTGGTCCGAAAGTCGGCTGAATCGGGATTCTCGGACCAATATTTTTCTCGCCTATTTCTTTACAGGGGATGTTAAGAGAAGGAACAAGGGGAGTTTCTGAGTAAAGTCGGCTGAATCCCAACCATAGGATTCAAATTCCTTAGTTTCCAAATTTTCTTTCGTTCTTAATTGTCGCAATAACATCGCGTTTGGCTCTATTGGTCGAGAGGAATAAAGTGTAGATTGTGGTTTAAAACCGAAAGGTTTAAGACGCATTTTACTTTCAAGTGCCAAATGTGCAATACTAAAGTCGAATTCTGGTCAGAACCCAAAGATTCGAAAATATTTAGCATTGATATGGCTGTTGCAGTAAGAACTATTACAGTGAGAATTAGCTATGCCCAATTGGAAGAGCTGTGTGCAGCTATGAATACTTAATGTATGTCCGATAAAAGTTATATTCAAAATCGAGATATGTTAGTAGACAAGTTTGAGAAAACATGGAAAATATGAAAATGGCTGGCCAAACTGAAAAGCAACTAGCTCTCGAAAGGAACGATGTTATAAACGATATTCCGTACATAACTGTAATAGCTGATGGTAGTTGAAGTAAACAATCGTACGGCCACGCCTACGATTCTCTTTTCGGTGTTGGTACTTTAATTGGTTACTACACAAAAAAAGTTTTTTTTGTCGATATTTGCAATAAATATTGCACGATATGCGATGTAGCGGAACAAAACGGAATCGAACCAAAAAATCATAAATGCTATAAAAATTTCGATCGTAACGCAAGCTCCATAAGTATGGAGAGCGACGCCATTGTAGAAGGCTTTAAAAGTAGCCTGGAAATGCATGGATTAATTTTTAGAACAGTCATTGCCCATGGTGATAGCAGCGTCTATCAGGCCATCATTGATAGCAGCATATCGGGAACAAATAGTGACCGTGAAAAAAATAGAATGCACCAATCATTTGCTTCGCAATTTTTGCAAAAAGCTGCAGACGGTAGCAGGGACAACTCAGCCAAAAATGCATAGAAAGCGCGGTTTCGTCCAGCTACAAAATGTTGTAAAGAACAATATTATGAACATACAAACAGAAGTAATAGAAGCAATTAATTTACGAAATAAACAAGAGCAACCTCACCATGATAAAACTAGAGAATTACAAAAAGATATATTAAACATTTCTAGTCATATATTTGGTAAACATAAACGATGTAAGGAACGCGGTCGTATATGTGACCTTGATGAAATGAAGAAAAATTATGTACCGTTTCTCAAGTTACACGATCTTTACCAAAAAGTAGAGAAGGCTATTATATATTTAAGCGCTTATTCCGACGGTTTGTTGTACAAATACACCAACAATCCTGTAGAGCCGTTCAATTTGATAATCTGCAAAGAAATTGCTGATAAGCGCATTAATTTTAGTAACCAAGGCTTTTACAATGCTAGAGTTGCAGGGGCAGTTTTGCAATATAATTCGAAACAAGGTCTTACGGAAATGCATAAAAGCATGGATAAAAATGTTCATCCTACTGTCGAGATTCTGGAAAAGCGACGACAAATTAAAGTTGCAAGAACTAGAGAATCTCGGAAAATGAATGGAAGGCAAAAATGTAAAAGGAAGTCAGGAACAGATTGTCATTACGGTCCGCAATCACAAAAACCTAATCTTCTACCCGAGATTTTTGAACAACTTCGACAAAATCAATTGGAAAAGTTGTTTGAAAATGGGAAAAATTGGAGACAAATTGAACGTAATACAATAGAGCAAAGTGATTCAGATTTGTGGCATTCACTGAGACAGGAATTGTTGACGGCGTCTCATTTTGGAATTGTATGTCGCATGAGACCGACAACGTTTTGCGCCGCAACCGTAAAAAACATTTTATTTCCTCCCTCTATCGATACTGCGCCTATGAAATATGGTCGCGAAATGGAAAAAATTGCGAGAAAAGAATTGGCCGTAACATTAAAAGAGATAAAAATTTGCGGATTATTTATTGATATTAAAAATCCGTGTTTGGGTGCTTCTCCAGACGGACTCATAGATAAAGATGGTCTGGTAGAAATAAAATGTCTTTTATCAGCTGAGCATTTAACAGCGGAAAAAGCCATAAAAATATTATCCCATTTGAAAGGCATTTTTAATGAGGAAAATCCATATAACATAAATCAAAATCACCGATTTTTCTATTAAATTTAAGGCCAGTTAAATATAACGTAGCGAGATTATTGTATTTTCGCTGTGTGGACGCCAAAAAGCTTGAAAATAGTACGTGTTAATAGAAATACTGTATTTTGGAATAATCAAATGCTGCCCTTTTTAACACGTTTCTATTACGATTGCATGCTTCCGGAAGTCTTGGACAGTCGGCATAATCGACATATGCCATTTAGAAATCCAAGCTATATAGTAGAAGCTCAACAAGAACTAGCTAAAAAAAGAAAACGAACGAGTCTTCCACAGTGTAATGTAGAAGATAAAAATATTGCCAAAAAAAAAGAAATGTATCGAATCAAATATTTCATCAATGAAGCAACTATAACTGCTTTGAATGCAGAACAAGATGATTGCATTGTAGTTAGTTATTCAAAAAATACAGAACTAACAAAACGCGATATGGCAAAGCACAAAAAATTTTTAAATAATTGGGTTGCTTTTTTTGATTCAGTAAAGGAAAATGTATTACCTTTAGATAGTCAAATAAATGACGAATCATTGGACCGATTTTTGCGCGTCATAAGAGAGAATTTTTGTTTTGAGATACAAAGTGTGCAATATTTGAAATATCCTCATATAATTAAAGCAAGTTGTAATGATAAAAGCTTACAAATTATTGGAAGAAATTGCAGTAATCACTAGCGATGTATTTCTTTTGACGGCACCAAGCTTCGTGTGTACGACAGTCTATCTGGCTGTACATACGAAACATTGAAGGCTAAAAAAAAATTACATTCATCGCCGTTATCCACAAATAAATAAAAATAATATAATATTTGAAGACGTTCAAACACAACCTGATGGTATATGTTGTGAAATCTTTGCTGCCGCATTTGCTACAACTATAGCTTTAGGAGGAAATCTTTGTGATGAGACATTCTTCTGACGTTAAACGTATGAGACAACATTTCTTGAAAATTATAGCAGAAAATAAACTGTCGCCTTTTCCTAACTAATAAAAATTATCATTATACTAAAAATGTGTAATTGTAATAAATATTGTTGCAAAAAAGTGTCTAATACAAATGTCTTATTTGCAAAAATCGGAGAGACGAAAAAAATACATATATTATGGTTGCGTTCTCACGGGAATGGGCGATGGAGGGGCCCATTTCATTCTATATATGCATAAAAATGTTTTGTATATTATATAATATTCTGTTATATTATATAAAAATATACAGCTGGTTGTTTGAATATATTTGCTATTTTCTCAATTATTGATAAAAGGAGAAAAGCGAATTATGCGTACTGCATACATTGTATTTTATAGAAAATTACAAGTAATATCAATATACGTATCATACACGTATGTGTATACATGTATGTGTATATGTATTTGTATATATGTATGCATCTATGCATGCATTTATATATGTAAGAAATATATACATATATATACATGTATATAGATGCATATATCCATGCATAAACATATATATAATATGTACATGGTGATTCAAAAGTCTGGCAATGGCCAATTATATCAGAAATAAGTGGTCTTATGAAAAATACTAAAGATGTTGACTTTTACCTAGGTGTCAAATTTTGAGATCATTTATAGGTCAACTTAATTTTTTAAATTGAAATCCTTTATTTTTTATTAAATATTCTTGTAGCTTATCTCGACAGCTTTCCAAAGCATTATAATAAAACATTTTTTCATGAAGTACTTTTTGAATTATAAAGATTCAGAGCAATTGTTTGACATACAATTATATCTTTGTAAAATATTCAGTTTTACGTTATCATACTTTTTATTTTTATGCACAGAATAATGAGACCAATTTGGTGTAAAGAAAATGCACCCAGCAAACACAAAATATAACTGCTATGTTACATGTATATAATACTATATAACGTGCATGTTACATGTAACATATACGGTAATTTCTCACTCATAGATGTAACATTTGTAATATGA